AAAAAAAAAAAAAAGCAAAAAGAACTTACATCCCGGAGTTGAGGCCTTGGGGTAGGTGAACAGGACAACGCCGCTTCCGCTCTCCTCGAGCAACTTCTTCAATGTGGTCGTTTCGCCGTCGTTGGTTTGGATCTCTCCACCGAAACCATCCAGGTCAATGACCTGGCCAACAGCAACTTTTTTGCTCGACGGCGTAGCAGCGGCAGCAGGAGCAGCAGCGGCGGCAGCAGAGGGCTTCTCGTCCTCCTTCTTGGCCGCGGGCTCTGGCTTCTTTGGCTTGGGCGGCCTGCCAGGCTTGGCGGCCTTCTTAGCAACCGGCGCCGGGGCAGGCGGTGGCTGCGGTGCCTTGCGTTTGCGCAGTTCGACAGGCATGGTGGCTCTCTCTGCGAGGTTGGCTACGCTGGCGGCAAAGGATAGGCGGCGCAAATGGCATGCGAGGGCAGCAGAGGTGTGAGAGAAGGGTAAAGGGGGCCGGATGGGAGAGAATCGAGCTTGCGCCAGGTCTTTATCGGCGCGACAAGAGAGCGCACTTTGTCGCAAAGGACGTGGCAGAGCAACCAAAAAACAAGACACAACACAACACACACAACACACACAACACCCACCGACCACACACAACCCCAACCGAGACAGGCTGCGTGCGCGCGTGCGCTGGGCGGAGCACCTCGATGGCCAAGCGAACACTCAGTGCTGGCATCGAAGCAGCCCCGGGCACGCTGTACGTAGAGCCCATGGCTCAAGTGCCTTTTTGCCCTCTCCAGCGTTGGCCCTTTCCCTGCCCGCTTCACCTTTCGCGCATAACTTGCATCTGGGCTGCTGGAGGAGGCATCAGGTTGAAGTGTTCTGGACCGCGCGACCCCGTGGCCAATCATTCTGGTTGGTCGGGGAAGCTTTGCAAAGTCGAGCTCCAATCCGGGCCGACGTGATGTGACGTGCTTGTGAGGCCTGCAGGGAGCTTGGGCCACCGGCATTCACACCAGTGCTCGACTACTAATCCGGCGCCTGCCTGGTGCGAGCTTCGGGTTCGACCCCCAGGTCCAGGGGTAAATTATTTGTCCCATTTTTTACCGTTGGCAAAGCCACGTCTTCGATTCCTGCTCCTAGGGATCCGGGATTTTCCAGGCGGCCGTGGTCCTATGTCACCGTTCGTGACCAATAACCACAAGGTAAAACAAGTCTGGTTTTCCGAATCAAAAACAGCATCTAACTAGTACCCGCTCCTTGCCGTTTCGCAAACCCCTTGGACAGAGACTCGCACCACCTACCGTTATCCCCAACCAGATCAATCGACGCCATTGCCAAATCTACTACAGGCGCGCTCTACTTTGTCCATCGCCAGCAAGAAGCCCGTCCAGATCCTTGATTCACGGCATGGACCCTCGCGTACGTCCGACCCTGCGCCGATCCACTGCCACCTTCCCCCAGTGCCAGCAAGCAAACATGCGCACACATCCTTACGCTTGGTAGAAATTCATGGCGCCAGTCGCCGCATTCACCATGGCAAGCCTCTTATTCGTGTAGGCGCTCCCACCCCAAAAGCATGAAATGAAAGCCACCCTATGCACTTTGTATTCAACTGACCGATGTAGGTACACGAGGTCATCCATCCGAGCCGCCAGGAGGGAGTCGGGTCGGAGATAGCACAGAAAGGCCAATATAAATGCACAACATATAGAACCCAGGTTATGGCTGTATTAAAAAAGAACAAACTCCCATGCCATGTATGTACAGGTAATGCTACACCATGCCCTACCCAGCCCGCCTTTTCTCCTTCATGGTTCTCTGATCTTTCCATGCTCCTCTCATGCATGTCCCTCAGTATCTCAACACTCTTCATCGCTCTCCTTGCACCAAGTCTAGAATAAAGAGCACGCGCGTCCGGACCAAAGTATGGTGACCAAAATGTGTTGCGGAAAAGAGAAAAAAAGGGGGGATAGATTCCCTCCCCTTTAAAACCGGATTCGTCTATACCTACAATCGTCTCCACGTGGGGGTATTTCGGAGCTTTGCTCGTATCGAACAGCCACGTCCTCTGATAAATATGTATATATAGTATGTATGTGTTTAAAAAAAAAAGAATGATGAGATGTGCTTCCCAAGTCAGCAGTGACGGCTCCATGTGAGTTCTTTGGCGACTCAGATTCCGTCTCGATGCCCACTCATGATTGGCTTTCGTGCTTGTGGATCTTGGCCCTGCCTTGTTCCTTTGCTCGGTGGAGGAATCTCATGACGTATTCGTATGTCAGCATTGTGACAGTGGCCGCGGGTACAGCGCGCATCATGTTGGTCCCCAGGCCGGCGTAGAATGCCCTCCAACCTTCCTCCCGAAGAATAGTTCGAAACGTCATGACAATGCCGCGGTATTTGCGGCCGTCGGCTGTGGAGTCCTTGGCTGGGTTTGGTGCGGCGATGCCCAGACCTTGCAGAAACTGTTCACCAGCTACTGGCCGCCGTTGGGTTTGCAGTCGAGTCCGGATAACTTCGTGAGGATAGGTGGCGCTGCTAGCCAGAATCTTGGAGAGCACCGATGCTGAAAGAATGCCGAACCAGTGTGCTTCCCCTGCACCCTCACCCATCCCCTGGCCTGTGAACTGGGTCTTGAGATATTCATATGTAGGAAACTGGACAGCCACGTGAGTCAATCCGAGGAGTGCGGGCGTGAGGCCCGAGTAGAAGGATACTAGCCCCTCAGAGGTGTACATCTTTCGGGCAGCGTCAAGCGTAGATCGGTAGTGCCAGGGATGGTTCAGCGTCGGTCTGGCGGTCGGGGTGTTGCCAGGCTTCGGAAACATGTAATGTGCATGGTCTCGGGCAGGAGAGTGGCTCTGTGACATGAGCCGCGTTTTGATAACCCATATCGGATTGGTGACAATGGTGCTACTGGCGCCGGCAATGATGGAAGACCAGAAGTTGACCAGATGCGTGTTATCTGCAATCATGTCAGTAAAGGAAAACACGCGGAACTGGGCCAGTCGGCAATGGGACGAGCGGGAGAAACCTACCAGAGTACTGGGCCATCCAGACCTTGCTCTTGTTATAGACGGTAAACCAAACTGCCCAGGTCGGCAAGTATCCCATGACAATGGGACCCAGACCACGATACATGCCCCGAATACCCTCCTCCCTCCAAATCACACTGGCTGTGCCACTGAGACCATTATACATCCTCGGTTGTCCCACATGCCGTCCATCTTGCAGCACTCTATACACACCCTGCGCCTGAAGCTTCGTCTTGATGACGTCAAGGGGACAAGTGACGACTCCGGAGGTAAATCCGCCCACGGCACCGGCCACGGCGTTGAACTGCGAGTCGGAGGCAGAGGCGGCCCATTTCTGAAACGGGGTCAAGGCCCCGGCTTGGTGCATTGGAAAATCGGCCGAGGGTCGATATGAGGCTGTTGCATGTTCTGGTGACGGGGAAACCCTGCCTGGTTGGGCGGATTGGTCGTGAGACATGCCCCCTTCGTGTGGCGGCGGTGGAATCGCTTTCTTCAACCTCGCTGTCGGACGTTTGTGTTCGGAACTGCAGCACACGGCGCGGCGAGATAATCAATGAGGACGCGTAGCCTGACTCGGGGCGGATATTGGGGGGCGAGGCCTGGATCTCGTCCAACTTGGCAAGGCTCAAAGTCCCCCTCCCCGAGCGGTGGGAGTTGCGCGTTGTGTGTGTCCAAGAACTGTCGGGGTTGCTTGGAAATCACAGGCCGACCAGGCCGGGCCAGGTTCAACGGCGCCGCGGGACGTCGTTTTGATTTCGAACAGGAATATAGCGGCAGGGAATGCCGCTGCTTTATAATCGAGAGCACCGCGCTTGAATCGCTCGAATCGCTCGAATCATTCGACCCGATGCCGGTTGAAAGGGACTGGCGGATACTGCGGGGAACGCAGCGAAACGCTCCCACTCGCAGAGACCGTATCCCACCTAGCGAACAGCCGCGGCCATTGGCCTTTTTCAGACGTGGGAAAGGAACCAAGTGGGTGGTCGTGCGAGCTCGGGAGACAGGCGACAGGTAGCGACGACAAGCAGGCGGTATTTTTCGCGGTAGTATGGGTGGTAAGGGTACGGGAGAGGAGGAGAGTTGGAGTGTGGTGGATTGTTGAGGTGAGGTCAGGGCCAAGAGTGTGGAAAAGGTGGACATTAAACATGGTGGAGCGGCCATGCCATGACGAATGACGAGATGGCTAACATTTGGAGGGCTGCAGGCCGCTACCGGACGGCGTTGCGCCCTGATGCGCGGCCTGTACGGAGCCCCGAGTGCTGGAAATGTCAAATGGTCGAGTTGAATGCTGGATGGACATGGAGCAGTTCCTCCGTACCAGCACCCCAACATTGACCTGTGACGATATCAGTTGGCCTTGTTGATGCTGCGCCATCGCCGTGCGCATGTGCGCATGTGTATGTGTGCATGCTTGCATCCCCTCAGGCGTCAAGATACTCCGTACGCCGAGAGAAATACTGTCGCGGAATATTTACCGACGCCGAACAGCGGAGGCGACGTGAAGCCGGCGACGCTTGTTTGAGATTGAGCAGTCAATGTTTGCCGGCCGTTCTTTCTCCCATCTCATCCCACCTTGGCGTCTGGCTGCAGCCCATCATCCAAGACTCCTGCACCCATCTGACCAGTTGGCATCTTTACACCATGGCCCTGTCCCTGCTACGGAAGAGCTGGTGGCCTTATTAGTGTCTATTAATCCTGCATCATCGTGCAGCCACGTTGCGTGCTGGCCACCACGTCGCTTCGAACTCCGCCAACGCCATCTTAAGGAGCTGCCCCGTATATCCCCGATCCAGGGAACCGTCAAACACAGGCATGCGCAAAGGCCAAGAAATACTGCACTTCTGATGTCACCGCTGCCAGCAGCCAGTTGCAGAGCATGCCTCGGCTACGTACTTTGCATTGTCCTGCAGTGTTGCATCCATAAGGGCTGTGATTAAGTGAACTCTAGCTCCTGTGCTTTCAGGCACCGTTCTTGTCAGTGAAATCATCTGATTCCAAGGTGTTACGACCATCATGTTCCGACGATTATACCCGAAAGTTGCTACCTGAGGTTTCAACACTGGAATGATGGTTCAACACACTATCCAGGACATGATTGGGGCAGGATTGAAACAGGGATTCTGAGGCACAAATCCAGGGGTAATTTGAGAAAGAAAAAGAAAACTTCATACGTGATTTTTTTTTACCACCATATTGCATTTTATAATCCACTTCCTTGGACACCCAACCCGGCATGACGCCAAGGCACAACCCAAAACCGTCCGTAACAGACGTCCCATCTTCCACTCACGTGCAAGCCACCGTTTCCCTCCTAGGAGCTCGGGACATCACGTGATATTCCGAACGGTGCCCCCCAATCATCGTCGCCGCATTTCGCGCATCCCGGGTAGAAAAAGCACAGCCCAGAACTCAACCACCTCACCACAATATCTCACCGTCCGACTCCTTCCCAAAGTCAACCAGCCCCGTTGCCCATCATGAGCGGCTACTCTCTGGCTCCCTTCATCCTCCGCCGCCCCTGGCTGGCCAACATGGTCATGCCCGCCGCGAACTGGTACGCCAATGCTGCCGGGTACAAGAAGCTCGGCCTGAGGTACGCAACACGTCCCCAACACATCCCGACTCCGACGGACAGCAAGCCCGCACCTCCCGCCCCCCAAATCTCGATCCTGCACGACGGACATGTTCCCAGCAACAGCCCGGGACTAGTAAGAGGAGGGTGTTTCGCACCAAT